TGCACATTAAATTTTATGCTGTACAAGATTCTAGATGTAGAATTAAATAAATATTTCTGAAGGTTTCTTTGCTACAAAGATATAGAAAAATGTGTGACTTAATACTATAAAGTATTTCTGCAACGGGGAACTTCACATACAGTTTTAAGAACCATTAATGTCAAAATGATCGTTCTGTAACCCAATAATACTTTTCCTGCATCAATAAAATTAAATAATTTTTGTATGAAAGGAATCAGAACTTTTAATGACCGAAAATGACAAGCAATTAAATGTTAAAATATTTTTGGGATGAAAAGATGAAGATCGGAACCGGGAAACAGATTTATAGTTTTTGCTTGAACCTTTTTAATTGCTTGCATAAAACTAGATCCAGTGGATTATTCAGAATGTTATTTATTTGAATAGCCAAACTAGCTTAATTTAAGATTAGCTTGATCATCATTGGATTGATCAGAAACTTTTCAAAGTATAGATATGGCTCTAAATTTCTTTTTGTCTCCTGACATGCTCTGTCAGGATTTTATGTAAGCTATTATGCAACATAATCATAAAACGAAGTCTTACCAAGCAAAGTATGTTCCTCGGGCTATCAAACAAATATATCAAAAGAGATTCTATTTCATTATTGCCCAAAATATTCTTAAGAGCATCTCCGTTTGATTATTTCAATCATGATGTTTCAAAATATCATCAAAAATTTTGATTTTGATGTAATACACAAGATCGTCTTTCACACATCATATGTGGCTGTAATTCCGTCTCAAAAACATTCAGCTCTCAAAGCATTTACAATTGAAGCAACGAAAAAAAAACTGATAATATAAATTTCCATCTCTCGCTTGTCGTCAAGTTCAAAAAAATGATGATTATGTTTATGAAATCATGTCTTGTACATTACTCATTGCCACACATGTGATGAAAAAATTGATTGCCATTAATATCAAATTTAAAACAAATTTCGAAGAAGAAGAAGCTATTGAGTTTTGACAAATTAATGATCATCGCTGAAAAGAAAATTTGCTAGACGATGTCAATATACTGTTTCAGACATGCGGCTTTTCAATTTACACATCTGACTTGTCAACAGTTGCTAAAGTAAATATTTATTTGAAATTAACAATGAAATGTCACTCAGATTTGTTTGTGACTTTTTTTCTACTGGAGTAGGTCAAGATGAGTGAAACATTATGGAGTTAGCATCAAATTATAAGACCTTAGCACCTTAATTTAGACATTATATCTACCGTCCGATAGGTATTATCCAATGTTAGCAAAGAGAACAGAGTCCGTTAAAAACAAAAAAATTTCAAAATTTTCGCGCGGTATTTTTTTAAAATTTCAAAATAAGAAAGTCCGTTACTTTTAATTTTTTTTAAACTAGGTGTTTTTTAAAGCATTAACATTTAAGGAATGCAATTTCATCACAGTGATTATCTTAATCATAAAAACTAGTAAGAATGTTCACTAAAATTACAAATTACTCGAAAAATAATAATTCACAACGAATTTTTTTAAAAAAAATAACTTCGAAGATTCGATTTTCGAAAAATAAGAACCTCGAAAATTCGAAGTTCGAATAATAAGAACTCAAAAATTTCTGTTTGCTAGCATTGGGGTATTATTTTAATCAAGTGTTTAATAAGACTAAGCAATTATGTAATGTCGTTATGCAATCAGTGAAGGAAAAATCATTTAAGCTAATTATATTCTATTTAATCAGTCTTGAGGCTTGCTAAGAAATTCTCTCTTTCAATCTTAAATCATGATTTATTGACATATGTTTTCATTATGCAATCAACAGCGATGCTAAAACAACAATTACTTTTCATTTACGTCTATTGAGTCGTTCATAAATTACATCAATGCTATTTTCTGATATTTTAATTGAAATTATCTTAGCATTCTTATTATGGAATATGCTACATGTTAGACCCTTTTCTGTTTACAAACTGGATATCATTTATGAAATAGCTCTTTAATTTCCACTTAAATCATTTATGAAATTGATACAAATCGGCTATGAAACATGTGTTCATTGAAATCTAAAGGCATGAAATATGATTTTTTTTCCACGGGTTTTCACTTTCCATTGTCGATAATGTACAAGATTCAAATAGAATTGATTGGACATGTTTGTTTGAGAAAATGTATAATAAATGAATTTTTATAGCTTCTGGTGAAATATTTTCAGTGATCATTGATACGAAAAAAGAATGAAAACTGAAACTCATATTGAATGCAGAACGAGACGAAAAAGTATTTGTACAGCAAATATAGAAAATAGTTGGAGGCAGCAACTGCATAAGCACGTTTGAAACACAATAAAGTCTTGACATACTTCAATAAAATAAAAAAAATTCTACATTTCCATTCTAAGGAAAGATCAAGTTACTATTTTTGAATGAATTTCGTACACTGCAAATGAGATGAATACATAAAAGAAGGGATGATTACAATGCGGTACAAATCAATCGTTTAGATCTTAATTTTAAAAAACAATTTTGTTCCTGTAAATGTGAGAAAAACGTGAGCATTGAATGTAGCAAGTTGTAGCAATTTCAAAATACAGAGAAGTAGAAAGAAAACATGTACAATCAGATTCTTTTCGTTTCGTTCAAGTTCGAGGTAAAATTTTATAATGTTCACTTGTAAACATTCAGTTTTGTATATAAACACAGAGAATGACTCACTTTAAAGTACATTAATTGATATTTTAATCTTTTCTTTTTCAACGTATTTTTGAATATTAAGGAAATGATTTTTGCAAAAAATAATTTTTGGTTTTAGTTATAAACAATTTGCAGACCATATTATTTCTATAAACATTGAGGGGTCATTTACAGTTGTTTAAGATATAAAAATTTTATAGCTATCTCCGGACAAGATACTTATTTACTTACTTCGCTGGTCGTACAGATAAATTGTGATCCATGACCTCCCTTTTAGGTGCCCTAAAACTAGCTCTATCGCTGGCTACCGTCTCCCAATTGACGATTCCAAATGCAACACTGTCTCCATCAACAGCCTTTTTCCATGAGTTGTTTGGCCTTCCACGTGATCTCTTTCCATCTACAAAATCGGATTTGAAGACCTTCCCGGCAAGATACTGCTTATAATTATTGTTAAAAGTGGATCCGCTACCATTTTCGTCCATTTTGTCTATAATTTCAGAATATTGCCTACAAAAATAGTGACAAAGTACAACAACTGCAGCAACTGTGGTATCTGTTTAATAAGTCATGATTTTGGTCTCTTTAAACCCATCTCAAGACCCTCCTCCTTAAACCTCAAGAACTTTCTTCTTTAACCTTAATCAGGACTAAACATGTAATATGTTCTGTTCATTCTCCAGAACCACATATATTCAAGAGAAGATCACTCTCGAAATATTAGACAGCTAAGTGAATAACTCCTTGGATAATATCACGTGGTTAAATGCTTTAGTCAAACTCCGTTCATGATAATTTAAATGTTTGCAAGCTTCTCGTTCATTTGCAGTTAAAATAAACATGTTAGACTTGGGAGGTGATTTGGATATGAAATTTAAATATTATCTAATTTTGCTTAAAATAATTCCATCAAACAGACAAGAGGAATCGATTCATTCGTATTCTTTTGTTTAGTTTATTTCATGCATGAGTAATCTTATCTTTAATTTACATATCTTCTGCTTCATTTTTAATCCTTTATTTATTTTTCTCTTACATTCCTCAAAAAATATTTGAATATCTATATCTGTTAAGACAAGAAGAGATTTTTAACAGAAAAAAGTAACTAAATAATGCATTCCACCCTCGGAAAGATAACAACGATCATAAAAATAAAACATACAATTAAGAGAAATGTAAAGAAAAACAAAAAAAGAAGGAAACATTAATGTATGCACGTAAAATATTTAACTTTTTTTGTTTCTTGTAACGTACGTACCTTCTTATTTCTCTGTTTACTATGCATTCACACGTTATTAGTGTACATTAGTGTATATACTAGTGCAATAATAGTTTATTACAGTCAATAATTTCCTTAGGTATTTATTTATTTTTTTAAGAAATAAGAATTTTTACTTTCAAACGTGATGATTCACAAAGGATGTCTATTTTCTACTTTTCAAGGTCCTTCAAAGCAAAAAATTGCATTTTAAAGTGACTAATTGTCTGTAGATTGTATCTTCATGTCTCTTAAATAAATTGAATGTCACAATCTTTTGAAAGATTGTTCGTTTAGTTTTGCAGAAAAAATGCAAATGGAACAGATTTTGGTGATTAAAGTATTTGAAGCTTAAGATCTTCCTACATCTGATATATATTTTATTGCAATTAAATTTTGCCGGTTCGAGATCTGAATAACTGTAGGTTGATTTTAATATTTTCCAAAATAATCTTCAATTTCCAGAGATGTAGTGAGCAGGCAGGAAGTAACATAGACATCAGTCTTCGAAGCTTTAATTATAAAATAAATAAAAAAATTGCCAAAAATTAATGCAATTAAAATTTAGCAGCAGGTAATAAATGTCTGTATAGGTCCCACTTACTAAGTCACTGTCAGTTCCATTTGAAAATTCACAGAAAAAGAATTAGTATTGAGGCATGACTTAAAAAACATATTTATCTAATCATCATTGTCGCAATTATTTATCTCACAAGACCTTTCCTACAAGCTAATGACTCATCATATCTACAAAAGTATATTTTGTACTAAATCATGAACTAATTCAATCAAGATTTATTTCCGTTTGAGGCACCCGTATAATGAAGGACCCGACTAAGAGGCCATCCAATTATCTCAAAATCTCATTCATTGACAAATTTCAATTTATTGTAATAGAAGAAATGGTCGCTGACCTTAAAAAGATTCATTAATATGGCAATTTATGGATTCCATTCATTTGGTCATGGACTTTAGATTGATTTATATTTTATGGGAGGTTTTAAAGGAATGAAAATTTACATAGAAGAATTTTTAGAATGACCAATTTTCTTTTTCCTATTTATTTATAGCATGTCTGTGCTTAGTCATCGTAAATGTTACTTTTGCCGGCAGTATTCATGGTATAAATAGACTTAAATGTGAAAACAGAAATGCAATACAGGTAGAAAATAACATTGACCTTAATTCCTTTCATCTTCATGCATGCACACGTGATAAAATGTTTCGTTTTCTAATTCTTCACAGAGATTCCAAAATGAAAAGGAAGTGGCAGAGAAAAGAAATCGAATAGAAGTATTGAGGAATGAAATGCGTATCAGATCGTCACAGTCCCATGAAATTGATGCGTATATTGTGACAACATATGATGAACATCACAATCATCTTGATGACGATGCCGAAGGAAGACTAGAATATATATCAGGATTTACCGGGCCAATTGCTTATGCTGCGGTATGTTGATAAATTGGATTTTAAGGCTGTAAATCAAAGGATTTAAAAACAATTTGTTTCGTCATCGTAGGATGATGTTGACGCATGCTTTGAGATTTTTTGTGGTCAAGACATTAGCGTATTTAGATGTTTAATTGGATGACTCTTCATAGATTCATTTCAGATTACGGTCTCCGATTTGCTTTGTCTAGAATTAATTTTTAATTAGATATTAAATTTTAAGGTTTGGCTTATTTTCGCCCCTTGCATATAGTCCACCACATTACTCGAGTAGTCTGTGTAGATGATTCATATTTTCACTAAGAGAGAAAATTGCAAATAAATATTTAAATATCAATACAGACCGTAAATAATCCAAAAAAGTTCTAAAAATGCGTTAAAAAGAACAACCTAGAAGAAGAAAAATGTCTGGCAATTTAATGTCGACATATTATAAGAAGAAAGAGGAATCAAAATCTTATTAATGGCACACTTACACATTTTTCAATGATCATCTTAATATTGCTTAATATCTGACTGAACTTTATTTTTAGATAACATCAAAATCAGCTGGCTTATGGACTGAATCAAAATATTTCGAGCTTGCCGATCGTGAGTTGGACTGTGGATGGAAAATATTTGATATTGCGGATGATCCAACTATTAGCATGTGGCTTGGGGTAAGATACTTCAATTTTTAAAAGACTTTAATTAAAAGGATTTAATTTTGCAGAAGCAAGTCCCTGAAAATTCTTATGTTGGTGCTGATCCAAAAGCAATACCACATCAATTATGGTTTGAATGGGAACGAGACTTAAATAGAGAATTCTTAAGCATGTCGAAAGTAAAGAACTTGATTGACACAATTGGGGGATCCAGTGTTGCATCACCACGCGATTTTAAAATAAGAACACAAAACTCTACATTCTCAGGTCTATCATGGCATAACAAGACGGAAGCATTACGTGAAACTATGAGAGCGCATCGATTTGATGCAATGGTCGTCACATCACTTACTGAAATTGCATATTTGCTGAACCTACGAGGCGGTGACTTCCGTTATGTTCCTGTTTTTAAAGCGTATCTAATTGTGACACATCGGGAAATTGTTCTTTACACGAATCGCACAAAAGTGTCAATTGAAGCGGAATTAATGATGAATTTCGATTTCAAAACGAATTCATGCTTTAAGCAGAAATGTGTAATGTGAGTGTCGGAATCATGTTTGTACAATGTGTAATGGATAATCATCATTATCATTATTTCCATTATTATGCTTTATGTGTATCATGTCTCCCCTGTTTTAAATATGAATTTCCACTTCTCGCTTGAGGGAAATTTTTCAGGAAAATTGTTAATGATTCATTCATGCTTGAGCAATTAAAGAGAGACAAGGATTGACATTGAAAGTTTGAGTTTGATTATGCTTATTATGGTCACAAAATTATATTATCGTTATAAAATTGGATCTTTAAGTATACGTCAAACGTTCTAGTTATGTTGAATTCAAGTAATACATTTAAACGAGTCATAAATGCCCAAATCATGATAGCTATAAAAACTTTAAAAGAGAGACAATTATGATTTAAAGTTTTGACAATTTTCAAAACAATTTAAATTAATTGAAAAATTTTTTGAATCACAGATATTATCAATTAAATAAGTGCTTGATACTTAAAATTTATGGCATCTATTATTATTCATTAATGAAAATATCTGAGTAATGCTGCACTTCCATGACTTCAAAATGGAAAATTTATCCCCTGTTTTGAAAAGTAAACCCTTCTCAATTAAAATTTGCATCTCATTCTCCCTCAAATATTTTTTGCACATTTATTTTCCTAAATTGGGCAATCCATAAATTTTCATTTTCGCACCCTCAAAACAAAACTGAACAATAATGGATGCAAACTAAAGAATTTTTAATTTATTTGCACAGAATCAAGCTTTATAATGATATTTGGAAGGACTTACGAATACTCTCAACGAGTTGGAATCGTGTTTTGATGCCATCAATGAACAATTTCGATTTGGGGGTCTCGGAAGCTATTTACTCATCAGTGAACCGGGAAATTATACATGAACGCACCTCACCGATTGTTTATATGCGTGCACAAAAGAATAAAGTGGAGAGAGAGGGCATGAGACATGCGAATATACGTGATGCTGTGGCGTTATGCGATACATTAAGTTATTTAGAGGAACGAGTATGTCTCCATTATGCTAATTGAATTTTCATTTTTTACTTTATTAACTCAATTGAATTGTACTCTTGTTATTCGTATCATGTCTAGTATATGCACGGTGATCAATGGACGGAATCTTTACTTGCACAACAGATTGATAGACCAAGGCATGAACAGAATTTAAATCGTGGATTGTCATTCAAAACAATCATTGCTTTTGGAAAGAATGCTGCCAAAGAATATTATTATCCAACAAACTACTCAGATGCTGAAATCACAAACACAAATTTATTATTAATCGATTCTGGTGGTCAATATCTCGACGGCACAACATCAATAGCTCGAACTATTCATCTTGGTGTGCCAACTGCCGAACACAAAAGAGCCTATACAAATGTTCTAATGGGAATGATTAGACTATCCATGCTGGCATTTCCTGAAGATTTGAAACCGTCAGAAATTGACGCTTTGATAAGAGAACCATTGTGGACGGCAAAGCAAGATTACCCACATTTATCAGGCTATGGAATCGGATCGTATTTAAGTGCTGAAGAATGTGAGTTGTGAAAAAATCAAATTCTTTTGTTCCATAAACTTTTTGTGAGATTTATAGACAGTGAGATGTTAGTCAGAGATGGATTTTGGGGCATGTAATTTTGATCAAATGATTAAAATTCAATTAGAATTGAGGTTTCATCCCTAATTAATGAACTTCCATTTGTATATGTCACAAAATATTAAATTAATTAGATAATAGCAAGAATAAATTTGAAATCCAACAAACAACAACAAATTCTTTACAGCCATAAACATAAACATTATTGTGACATCCAATTAAATTGATTAAATTTCTCTTTCATCCATATCAACATTCAACAAATGTTCAACACCGAGAATCCCTCTCTGAGAAAGCAATTTGACAATAATGTCGATAAATTTATTGATTGCCCAATATTCAGTCAGTGACTATACATGAATGCTGTTCACATGATTTCATTAATTTTATTAGATAATTGAATTAAATCTCATGAATATTTCTCTTTATGATATTCTTTCGAAAGATTTCATTTTTCACACTCGATTCTTCTTTCTTCTTTTTACAGCTCCGATCTACATTTCATACACAACAAAGCATAAATATGCACTCAAAGATGGATATTTCTTCACGGTTGCACCTGGCTATTACAAACCCAATGAATTTGGTGTTCGAGTCAAAAATGTTTTTGAAGTTGTTAATTCTGATCGGAAAGGATTTTTGGAAATTCGTGTGATATCATTAGTGCCATTTGAGACTAAATTGATTGACAAAACGATGCTGAGTCTAAATGAAGTAAGTTGAATCTGGTTCCGTTAATAAAATTGTGATTTTTCATTCTTTTTATTATTTTTTGTGTCTATTAGAAAAAGTGGCTCAATCAATACAACGCTAGAATTCGTGAAGTTGTCGGTGATGAACTTAAACGTCAATTTAAAATGCCAGCATTTTACTGGCTAATGAATCATACTGAACACATTCGAGAATATCTCACGGAAGATGAATATCGCAAGAGTAGTTCGTATAGATTACAATTTAATCTCAATTATCTTTTAATACTTACACTAATCCTGAGATTAAAATCATTCATCTATTAAGAAACAATTTAACTTCTGTTAGAATTAAAATCTTTAATTGTTAATAAATTGATGCTGTTTCAATTTTAACTTCAACAGCCAGTTGAGGATGCATGTAGCTGAATTTGACTTACCTTTTTGTACTAAATGTGAACAGTTGTTACTTTACTTACACAGTTGCTTCGTAGTTTGAGGAATCTTTAATGGAGTGGACTGTTTTGTTTAGGAGCTGATTCAAATGTCTAGAGTTATTTACAGAAGATGTATTTTCATAGTGGTTTTAAAAACCTTGAAAAGTTATTTTTTTTTTCGGTACTCTTGTGTGCCAGGGATGTTCATTAGCATGCTAGGGATGTTGCATTAGGTTTATTCAGATGTATACACCATCCAAACCATAATTTTTTTTATCTAAATAGATGCTTATAATACATTCTTCTAGATAATACATCCTAAGATGTATTAGTATGATGAATTTTTGAGGTCTACTCAAAAATCAGTTCATAAACATATCAGCTCTGAAAAACACACATTGACAAACATTTACCAAATAGTGTCTAAACCAGGAGTTCTCGAACTATAATCCGTAAAGCACTATTGTTCCTCGAGAAAAAAATAACGTCGATAGGAGTCAGGAGTAGCTGGTAATGTGTCGTAGAAAGATGATTTTAGACTTTAATGTTCTGTGGTCTGCATAGTTTGAAAAACACTGGTCCAAACTTTAGTTTTCCTCTACAGAAAAGCAACTTTTCTTGCCAAAGAAGCAAGTCACAAAAACACAAAAAAATTAGACTAAAAAATCTTAATAAATTATAGCCATACTCATTATCATAAATGTAATCCCTTAAACATTTTCCAAAAAAACAACACGATAGATTGAAAAAAACTCTTACTTAACTTTAAATTTAGATTAGAAAGGCCAGGAAGAGAAGATATTTAACATAAGTATATGTATAAAAAAAATCCCAAGTGATGCTTTCATTATAATTTATTTATTTCTATTTTCGTTTTGAAATTATAATCTTCGATGTTAATGTATAATATTGTTATAGTTTGGAAGATACATACATACCTAGCACAAGAATAAGGCAAAAGAAAACTGATGTAAAAAATAATAAATTTAAAAATTCTAAAAGATAAAATTGAGTTTTTATGTTCATGTTCACGGGAAATTTTCGGTGCTATTAAAAAATATTTAACATTAGTACGATCAATTAAGATGCACAAATGTGTCACATGACTTGTGACTTGTAACTTGTGGCATAATAATTTTTGTATTTTATTTACTTAAGGGCACAAATTGATAGAATTTTTCAGATGGAATTTTGAGGAAATGAATGTGATTTTATGAACTGTTTGGATAGATGGATTGACAATGATAAGAACAAGAGGTATTTTTAGAAGGCCTAAATTCAAAATGATTCAAAATTTTCATCATCCTAGAAACCAGTTTCGTAACAGGAAGAACTGCTCATAAAATAAATTATTCAAGAAGAAGACATCGTCAACCATCCGGAGGTCCTTGAAATTCAACAATTTTTATGTTGTGCGAATGAAACGAGGAACGAGCAAAGGATGAATTATAAAATGTTTACCCCTCTGCATATTTAACAATTTCAATGTCATCGATTTTTCTCTTCTGTGCAGGCAGCCGCCAGCTTCATGTTTATACTCTGTTCTTATGACATCATATTCATCCCCTTCATGTATAAATTGCAATGATTCATTTACATGTGTGTATTTGTGTCCGTATGCACATCTGAATACTCATCACTATTTCTATAGAACTGAATCAAAAAGGCATGAAAACGAAGCGTAAACAAAAGGAAACATGAAAAATATTTTTCAGTGTCGCTCTCTCGATTTTTCGGCTCGCTCTCACTACCGGCAATTCGATGTTCTCTCTCTCAGAACCCGAAAAATTTCAAATTTTATGTTTTACACTTTTAGTTGCCTGCGTTTCTTGAAATCGTCAACATCAACAGCAAAATCATTTGTCGGAATATTGCGTGTTGAAAGTTAACATTTTTTAAGCGTGATAATCACAAGAAAGTTTTTAAAAATATTCACCGGTTAATCTCTGAATCGTTACATCAATTAGAACTGCTGATAAAGCATATTTTAGACTACAATATGGATTATAAAATTCTTATATTGTGCGTTACGCTTTGTGCTAATTTGTGTAAGTTCATAATAGATTTTTACACCATATGAAAAGTGAATGTGCAGCATAAATTTATTGCATTTTGTGAAAAATTAAAAAAGAGTTATGAAGGGGATGAATCTGCAATAACGATTGTTGATAAAAATTTGACAAATCCGTATTTAAGTGATTTATACTGAACATTTTTTTGGATAGTGAAATTATTCAATTAATTTTTTTGTAGCTTTAAATTTTTTGTTGTTCATTTTTTCTCATAATAAATGCCAATTTAAAATCGTGAACAATTTCAGTGACTTAAAAAAAATGTCAACTATTTAGCTAATTGTTGTATGAGTTAATGGACTATTTCTGTGAAAAATATGAATCACAAAGTAACAAAGAAATCAGGAAATTAAATCTTCTTCTTATTTCAATTTAGCTTGTCGACTCATTAAATTCTATTCAACATTTTCTTTATTCTTTCCTGAGAATAATAAAATATTTTGGCAGTTGGGATATTTAGCATTAAGTCACATTCACATAATTTATTCTAAGAACTGGAAGTTCTTTTCAGAAAAGGGAATTTTTTTGTTTATTGCTTAAAATTTCTTTTTTTTATTGCGAATAATAAAGTCAAATGTGTATCAGGTTCAGCCAAAATATTTATTGTTTATTCTGATTATTTGATATTCTTTTACTGATCCGTCCAGTATGACGCACTCTTCATAATTCTTGTTTAACTTCAATAATTATAAAAAATGAAATTTTGATCTGGATATAGTAATAAAATGGAAAACGAGGTATAAAGAACGTAAATTGAACAACATTAAAGTCAAAGCTAGATTAATTACATTTAATGGATGAATTGTATGGCTTTTTACAGCTTGTCATATCGAGATTACTGTTTGTTCTAGTTGCATCTGAATTTGGCTCAATACCTGAAATATTATCTTTTTTGATTAAATTATTATTTTTTTTTTTAAAAAAAATTCCAAAAAATTACGAAATATCAAAAAAAAAATCTAAAGTTTTTAAAATTGAACAAAAAAAAAATTCCAATTCTTGATTGTGATCTATTCAATTTCAACAATAAATCCCCCCATACAAAAGAGTTGAGTGCATCATGGAAAAAAGGAATTCAAAGGGATGAAAAAAAAAGGATTTTTTTCGCCATAATTTATGAGTCTTTCTGTGACTGAAGACAAGAAATAATTGCCACAGGAAAGCAAAAAAAAAAGGAGAAAGAATAAATGAACATAAAACTGATGATGATAAGCATGAAGTTAATGAAATCATGCTTCAGTGGATAAAACTACGTTAGAAGAGATAATTTTGGTGTCATGCACAATTGGAAATAAGGCATTTTGTGGATTGTGCTTGGATATATATTTATAATATGACAATTTAAATGACTTTATGATGCAAATTGAATCCAGAATGTAATGTTTTTCATAAATCATTGGATTCCATGTTGACATTTATTTCCTTTGAAGCAGGCAAAAAGGGAAAGAATTAAAAAAATATTTTTATTCTCATTGCAATGTGTTGCAGAAATGTTCTTTTATTTATGGAACTCAGTTCTCTGTCTCTTTTTCTGGTGGGGGAAATTGAGAATTAATGATAGAAATTTTTGTGTTATGGCTGTGATGATCTTCCAAAATGCTATAAATTTTTATTATATTTTGATGACAAAATATGAAGCATCGAGAGATAAATTATGAAGTCTTCCGATAAGTTCTATTAATGGAAATTTGTCACGGTCGAAAAATTAAAAAGTCATCATAAAATAGGGAATTCGAGTCAGTTCCTACCCCCAATTAAATTAAACTCCGAGAAACTTGTTCGAATTTATTTTCAACAATCAGAACAAGAAATTATTATTCGACGAGATGGACAGCCCTCAAAATTACAATTTCATGTCTCCAATGACTGCCTTTATCTACGAACTTGTACATCACAATAGAACACAAAAAAATAATATAAATGAAAATTTGTGAGCAAGTTTTGATCAATAAGAAAGTTTTTAGTTTAAATAGCGCATTTAAGCAAGTGCTTGTTATCTACCAAGTTTGCCGAAATGTTAAGTTCCAAAATTTGTTCAAAAATTATTTTAAATATTCATAATTTTGAATTGAAGGGTTAGGTTGGTGAAAGAATCAAAGCCAAGTATATGGAACAATAATATAGACAGCCAATAATCCAAAATGCAAAGCAGACAACAAATACCTAAATCTTAATACGCGTCAAAGACTTCAATTCAGTTTCTTTTATTTTCTATTTCATAAAAAATTTGAATATAAATTGACATAAATTCTATGTTGCCGCGCATTCATTGAAAGAACTGAAAAGAAAAAAAAAAAGGTTTCATTGTTAATGTTCTCACGAAAGCCCAATTTTGTTCTTTACATGTGAAGTCACACGAAGATATTTTATAATTTTTTTAATGTACTGGGAGCAAGTTAATAATAGAGGTTTCTTAAAATTTATAGGATGAAAATTTGTAGATCCAATTAAAAAATTCTTTTATCGTGTGACTTTCATCAAAATACGATAAATAAATTTTATGCCTCATCTTAATTTATAATTTTATTTTATATTGAAAATTTAGGCACGGCAGAAGAAGCAACGATCTCATACATTTCACCTCCACAAACTAAGAATCCCGATGAGAGTGTGACCTTTAATTGTACAGTCTCAAAACCAAAGGATGCAATTGTGGTGTGGATGAAGGATACAAAGACTTTAACATTAGATACTTTGCTTGCTTTCCGTGATCCTCGACTGAGCATTGTTTATGATGAGGCGGCAAGCACATATAGCTTACGCGTAAGTACTTTAATGGAAATTTGATACTCTACAGGACATATTAATTTACCAAAAACTTCCCATTTAGATACAAAATTTAACGACGCAAGACACTGGCAAGTATCGATGTCAGATTAATTTGGATCTATCGACCACTGTTGGAAAAGAAATAGACTTGCAAGTCACGCGTCCACCTGTAATTTTGGATAGTACGGAAACCAATTTTCGGGTCAAGGAAGGTGAAGCAGTCACATTGTCATGTTCTGCTGATGGATTTCCTCGACCAGAAATCACATGGCGTCGTAATAACGAAGAATTGATGCCTACACGTGGATTTAATTACAAGTAAGTTGGATTTTCTTGGATTATTACAATTAATTTCAGATTACTCGACTTTAAGTGCTTAATTTTAATTTTTTGACCATTTTTGCAGAGGTGCAAACTTGACAATCCTTCAAGTAAAGAAAGAAGATCGCGGTCACTATGTTTGCGAAGCATCAAATGGAATTGGAAACAAAGTCAGTAAATTAGTTCTTCTCGAGGTCAGTTTTGGCCCAGTTCTCTCAGCAAAACGACCAAAAATCGGACAAAAAGAAGGCTATGAAGCCAAAATGACATGCATATCAACTTCATACCCGCCAGCATCTATTTCATTCCTTCACAAAGGAAAGGAATTGAATAACAATGAACATTATCAAATTGAATATCTTTCAAGTGTTAATGAAATAACTGAGGCAATTTTGACATTAAAAGAAGTTAAGAAGCATCATTATGGTGAATATGAATGCAAAGCAAAGAATGCATTAGGTGATGCCAAAACAACACTTGAATTATTTGGTAAGGAAGTCATTAATTTTCTTTTTTTTTCTCTTTTTTATTTTTCTATAATTTTTCTTTCTCTTGTTCTGATCTACTGATTATGACTATTATGTTGGTTGCTTTTTTGTGGCTTAGTGTGATTGCCTACTTTTGTTTTTACCATGTTTATGTTATGCTTTTTATGTTTTCTTATGAAAAAAGAAAAATTATCGAAGAAAACGAAGAATTTATTTTGGTTTCTTGAGCTGCTTGCATGCTTATGGCTTTCTATAGAAGATTTTGTGTAGATTTTCACTTGCTACTTCATAAATATGTACATATTTTTGATATGATAAGCTAGCTCGCTTATTAGCAGAGTTGTTATGTAAAATTTTGCTTGATGAAAACCATTAGTAGATTTATAGGATATATTCAAATGACCGAAGAGATCTGAGCTAAGATTTTGGTTTTACCATTGGGGGGCTAATAATTATTAGATGGAAGTGGGGAGCTTTGTGGATATGGCTCGAAGAGCATATCTGTAGTAGATAGGCCTGAGCATAGGGCTCACGTTGAAACTGAGTATATGTGTATGACGGATAGCCGAAGTGAAATAAGTACCTCAGTAGCCAAGTGGCAGGGATCTCTGATCGAGTGGTGAGAGATTGCCTATTTTGAGGTTGTGGGTTCGATTCCCATCAAACTCGGCTTGTTTTACCTTAATATACACATATGGCAGATTTAAGAAGATCTACAGCCAGTCAATTACTAAAGGAATAAGGTTAACCTAGATTTCTCAAATGAATTAATTAATAATCCTAAAATGATCAGAATTTAGCAACAACTCTGCATTAAATGAATTTTTCCTAAATAGTTGTTGTTTATTTATTTATCAGTAAACGAGTTAATTTGGCTTTGCTTTCATAAGCATGTTCATAAATCATAAAGAAGATTTTTGACGATCAAAATGAGAAAAAAATTTTTGATGGTGAAATTCGAGAAAGCAATTGCACTGAGCTCCACAACCTGCTCTAATGTGTGATAATTAATGTTTAAATTTCCTATTTTATTTAATTTTCTAATTAATAATCCTAAAATGATCAGAATTTAGCAACAACTCTGCATTAAATGAATTTTTCCTAAATAGTTGTTGTTTATTTATTTATCAGTAAACGAGTTAATTTGGCTTTGCTTTCATAAGCATGTTCATAAATCATAAAGAAGATTTTTGACGATCAAAATGAGAAAAAAATTTTTGATGGTGAAATTCGAGAAAGCAATTGCACTGAGCTCCACAACCTGCTCTAATGTGTGATAATTAATGTTTAAATTTCCTATTTTATTTAATTTTCTTATTTTTTATTATAGAGACTGAAATACCCGTTTATCCCTTCAAATTTTAAGAAAACGATCATTATTTAGATAGAATGTTATTATAGCACAAATGCACATGCACACCATTTATCTTATATAGAACTTACTTCTGCTTCTGCTCTCAGCCATACTTACACTCATTTGCTTTTGCTCTTGCAATTGAAGATGATGATGATGTTGATCTTTCTATTTTTAATACTCACGCACAAATACACACACGCACGTTACATAAATTAAAGATTGTACATTTGATTGACTTGCACTATTCATGTTGTTGATTTTGATTGATCAAAATTATTCATAAACGCATTTTATGTAGGTATTTAAAGTCATAAATGAAAAGAAAAGAATTTTTCAATTCTATTGCATATATATTTTTTTTTTTCGTTGAAAAATGAAGAAAAAGTTATTGTAAGGGCTAAAGCGTTAGTAGAAATTATTTGGTTAATTGCTTTTCTTATGGTTGAATGATTTAACACTTTTTCCGCATTTATTGGATTTTTTTGGAAAGCATTTCTGTTTGGAATTAGTTTCGGTTTGTCTTGTGGAAAGTTTTTAGTACTTTTTTAATGTTTTTAATGAATGAGTTTTCATTTTTTCCAATATTTTTGTCTTTTTGCCATATTAGTCATCAATTTGATGTTCACAAATGAATTTGTATTTAAAGAGTGACATTCTTGATATTATTTTCTACTTTGTGGTTCTTTAGATTGAGTATCTATAAAGTTTAAACACAAACAAGCTATATTTGCTACACAACAATTGAATACTTACTTACTTTACTTCCTTGGCTGGGGCACACGTGAGCCTATTGCCGCGCTTAGAGATCGTCTAAAGACAGCTCTATCCTCAGAAACCTTCTGCCAGTTTAAAATATTAAGGACTCTCGCGTCCTTTTTAATACTCTTTTAAAATTTCTTAGTTCAGTAAGCAAATGGATCTCAGAAGCTAATTACTTTCCTGCTTTAAAATTTATTTAAATTTCTTAATTTACCATTTTAAAAAGATTTTATAATCGCCATAAACTTAGAAAACTAGTTAACATTGTAGGGTGTGAAATCACTTAATTTAAGTCAGTTCCTCATTTAAATACAAAAAGTTTGTCGTGAATAATCAAAAGTAGCAGTTATAAAATCAGATAATTTTTGTTGAAAATTACCAAAAGCTATCCTCAGAAATGCGCTTAACTGCTCAACTATTAGCTATGCTACTTTTCTCTTATGATTTAAATATCTACATAAAATTATTTCCTCTATTCTTCATTGATGAGTGAATTAAATTTTTTATTGTTCCGTTTCTATTTACCACATCTATTTTTCTACTGACGCTTTAACTCTTTAATGTTATTTTTTTGAAAAATTATTTTCTATTCTCGGTCACGTTCAATTTTAATTTATATCCAATTTTTTTCCATTTATTTTCAGAACAAGAATTACCAAATGAAATTTTCTCAAGTCTTAGACAATCAAGTGGTCATCGATTCATTGGATTCCATCACATTTATGCAGCGATCTGTACAATTATCTACTTTAGAATATTCAACTAAACATATTTATTGACGGAATGGAGAATAAATAAAATCTCAAGAACTTCTAGGAATCTCCTTAATCTTCTTAATCAGTTTTCTAATTTTATTTCGACAAAAAAAAAGTATTCATTCTTACTGTATGTATTTAAAAAAACAATCTTGGAACTAGGAAATCATAATTTAAGAGCAGTCGCAAAATGAAATTTTTCTTCTATTTTTCTACTTCTTTTATATTTTATTGTATCATAACTTTTTATATCTTCATCAAATTTCATCTTAGAAATGAGAAAAAAAAAACTTTTGTAAGTAAGTTAAAACTTTAAAAATAAAAATTTTGTGTATCGAAAAGATTATGTAACTTGTTTCAATGATCGGTAGCTGTAATAGTAATAATAATAATAATTCAACTAAAGTGCCCTCAAGGGAAATCACATAACGAGCCATAAAAAGGAGAAAAATGTTCAACAAGAAACAATCATCAAGAGTATTTTTAATTTGATGTATCTCGAGATAATCGAATGAGATTTCGCTTTGGAAAGAATATTTTGTGCCTCCATGAAGTTCTTTTTGGTTCATCAATTAACATTCTTTCTAAAATCATAAAATCTATTTATTTTCTATAATGATTGAAGATTTCAATTCGATTTGGACTACTTCTTAACTTTTATGATTTTAAGCTCATTAATTAAAACTTTTTAGGTTATTAAAACTAAACTTATAGTTTTCGTTTTATTTATGACTGAATAGCACTGAATAGTGATAATTTAGGTGCTATGATCTGGATTTAAATTCATTTATTGACCACAAAATCAAGTGTTTTAATTATATAAAAAAAATTGGTTTCTTAAAACCTACTCAAATCTGGTTATGATGTTTAATTTGAATACCTTTGAATGTATGAAAGTGTTGAGTCTACTTTCGAATCACATAAGGATAAGATTTCAGAATCTATTTAGATATTGACAATTGATTATTGATAATATTTGAATAATTTCAGACTCTTAATTTTTTGGAAGCTGATTCTCACTAGGTTCGACATATTCTACGACTCACAATTTTCAATTTACTTCGTTTTAGAATGTTCAAAAATTCACAAAAATGAATTTCGCTGATTATTGAAATCCAAATTTTATTTCGCAAAAGGTGTTCTGGGCAGCAGATGGTTCTTAATTCTCGATCACACACAGTTGGGAGAATTTTATTGTTTTTATATTTCTCGACAACGGAACTGCAATCTTTTTCCAACACGCAACGGCTTGTCTAACCCGTACTTTCAATCGTACATGGCACGATTTCTAAAAAAAGGTTCCCAAGCATATTTTTTATGTTTAAAAGTGGAAGTTAATCGCCTTCAAATTATCAAAAGAATATCTTTCTAACTTACCGGAGGTAACATTAAAAACATAAGTTGCTGTAATCACGAAAGCAAGAACTAAAAGGCGACTCATTATGATGATGTCTTACAGTGAACTAAAAATGAGAACTTATAGAGAAGAAAAAAATTGTTTTCGGAATTGCGTGACCCAATAAATTCTAGTGATTGATAGTAGCTATCGGTCAATTGACTTTGCATGCCGACAAATGAATTTATTTTCATTCTAGATCTAACATTGATGATTTTCAGAACTAGAATCATTTGATTAAGCCATCAGTTTTGTGTTCCTTTAAACATTCATTTTAATTTCTATGATTTGAATAATTCTTTGTTTATAAATTCAATACACCGGCATAGACGGTGTAGAATGAAAAATGATGCAAACGAGAGAATGAGAGACATAAACAACAACAAGATTCTTTAATTATGATCTTTACAGAACCGGCATTTGTATTGAATACATTCTCATCATCATTACTATCATCGTCTTGGTCTCCGACATGTGTATTCACAAAAAAAGAGCTGAAAAAAGACATAAGACATGAGCAGTCATGAGAGAAGTTGAGACTGTACAGAACACATTTTAAGAGAAGTATTGTGAAGATATTGGGAACAACAAAAGTAAAGAAAACAAAAAATAAGTTGGAAAGACATAGTTCGAGACATTAAGGTAAGAAAATTGATTTTTTTGGGAAAGAATTGACTTTGAAAATTTGTCTGTGATCTGGAAATTTTAAGGCAGAAACAAATATTTTCTAAAAATACCACTGGAACTACAAACATGAAAAACTTTTCAATTTTTAAACAATGGAACTTTCTAGAATTAAACAAGTGTACATCCATAATTGAAAAACCATTGTAGATTGTTCATTTTTAAAATTCTGAATTTAATTTTACGATCCAACACTAAAAAACGTCACCCCAACTTAATTAAATCAATCGACTGATATATTGGAATGTATTGATTGAATCATTTTTATGGGAAATACCCAAAATATAAAATTTAACCTCCCTCCAAAAAACAGATACCTTAAAAATTCATACTTAAATAAGTAGCAACAACACAGACAGTCAAAATGAATACATAAATTGACTTTATTTCTCAAGAATTGCATTAAAAATTCAGCAACAACAAAAAATAAGTTACAAAAATAATTTCTCGGCCTCTCCCGCAGTTATATTTATTTCCATTCAGTACATGTGTCGTTGTCGACCGAGCGAGACTCCTCAAAGCATACACTTTTTTTGAATTGTCTCTCACAACATACAACTTTTTGCTGTGTCTGTTGAGTTCATATTGTGATTCATCAGTTGAGACCATTTTTTAAGGCATTTAAAGAGTGAGTGTAATTAGCTGTGAAAATCAAAAACAAAATCTATTTTTCAATTTGGGGTCGTTCAACTATTATGTTATATGTTTTTGGGTGAATATCAGTGTTGCATTCTGGCCATTTGTGTAGATAAGATAAATTCTGAGACAGAAATTTCTTCATAAAGATCGATTCTACATGAAGATAGAAAATCTAATCTACACAAAGATTATTTCTACATAATGATTCGATGTAGATGTCTTCAATTCTGCATTCTTCTCTGATGTAGACCTGGAAAAAATGTAGAATTGTAGACATCTACATCGAATCTTTATGTAGACAGAATCTTTATGTAGAAATAATCTTTGTGTAGATTAGATTTTCTATCTTCATGTAGAATCGATCTTTATGAAGAAAGTTTCTTAGCTAGACAAAAACTATTGAAGAATCTACATTCTTCATCTAGTGTAGACATCTACATTTGCAACACTGGTGAATATTAGGATGGGGAAGAAATTTCATCAATGGATCAATAAGATTCTATTGAAATGATACAAATTGAGATAAGAAATATCCACAAATTATTAAAAAGCACAAAATTAGTAAGTTTGAAACCTAGTGCTCCTAAACTCTTCATTTTAGAAACCTTTTGGATGTTGTGCTCAATGAAAAATCCAAAAAATCAAACTTAAAAATTCATGTCGGCAGTAAAAAGCTTCTAGATAGGTTCTTTTACTAAGCTAGGTCTGTTTCCCAAGCATTAATCGATACCACCATTTCAAATTCGAAATTTTCAAAAAACATCACCTCTAAACGTTCCCCATTGATTCTTCTTCTTCACTTGTTACAATGAATAATCCCGAAATGTTTATATCTACAGGAAGTTTAATGTGGAATTTGAATTTTTGATTTCAATACCTACATTTGAGTATAATGTTCATTATATTACATAATTTCATTAATTTTAATGCTCGAACGAGTCTTTCAAGGGTGGGTGAAATTCGAAACAATTAATGGGAATTTATTGATTAGTTTTTGTTCTGCATCAATTGTTTCTTCGTCTATAAATATTTTTTTTCCATTTTTATTGAATTTAGTTCTTCTTCTTAGATTCTACTATAGTTCCTCTCTTTATAGTATAGTTCCCAAAAAAGAGGGACGGTAAATTGCATGTTGTTAATTTTACATTAAATCACACAATCAAGATTGTAAGAAAAAGTTTTATTCTTTAACGATCTTTTTTGTATGTTTGAGGATAATTGCATATTTCACATCTATCAAATAATTGATGCTATTTAAGTTCATTTCCTTCCTCTTTCTTCATTCCATTCCCCAGCTACTTTTGGCTGCTTTTTATGTTTCAATTGTGTAATTATTTCGAAAAAATTTACCATTTTGGATCAGATAAGGTGGAAAAGTTTACATATGTAAATGAACAGTTTGTTATTCATTATCACGAACACTATTTGAAAATTTCTAATAGTTTCTGGTATCTGCTTTATAACGGAATAAATAGTATGTTTGAGAGTTTGAAGAATCGTTATAGTAGGCGTTAAACATTTAAGTTAATTGTAACGTTTGGTATTAAAATTTTATGTGTTTATCTCGTCAATCAATACTTTCATTTAAAGGAAGTAGATCATTTATCAAGAACAGCTGAAATGTTCAAAATTTGGATACATTTAAGAAGGTTTTGATAAATAAATTTAAATATTGAATTATTATAAGATTAAATTGGTTGCAAGTTTGTTGCCAAATTCATTCACATTAGAATTGATTAGAATTTGATATCATTTAAAAAACCAGCTTGAGCAGTTAATAATTAAGTTCATGTACTGCAAAATGGTTCTTAATAGATATACCATTGAGGTTGAGCGTAACAAAACATTAAAATTATTATGGGGCCGTTTACTTATGACGTCCAGGAGGGGGGGGGGGGGGGTCAACAAGAAAAGAACAATAGAAATTCCTGGAAATCCATTGTTCTTTTATGAAAAATGACCGTTAAATTCGGACGTCATAAGTAAACGACCCCTATGTCCCAAAATAATTTTAAAAGGCTCTGATTAATTTCAAGTTCATATCTTCAAATTTATCAGAAAGAGCATGAATTAATTATAGTCATACACACATCTACATACAAACCCCCAATAAATGATAAGAGAAATGCATTTTTTTGAAAGAAGTAAAACAACATCGCGTACATATTATAACTTTTTATATCCACAAAAGAACCAGTTTGTTCCCTTTCTCTTTAAACTAAATGTTACTTCCTTGAAACCTTGAAATTCTTAAAATATTTTTTTTTCATCTTATCTTTATTGTTATTGCTCATAGAATTAAAAATGAAATTGTACGTTGTTGACGATGGGCCACCTTCTTTAGCCTGCCGCATGACATTTAAGTTGCTCAACATTCCGTTTGAACAAATCGAAGTCAACTATAATGTTGGGGAACATTTGACTGAGACATATGCAAAGGTACGAGACTAATCTTTATAGCTTAAATATTTTAAATTAAATATTCAATTTTTACTTCCATGAACAGCTTAATCCTCAAAAAGAAATTCCCGTCTTGGACGATAATGGATTTTTATTAAGCGAACATATTGCCATAATGCAGTACATTTGTGATAAGTATGCGCCAGACTCGCAAGCATATCCAAAAGATCCAACATTACGTGCATTGGTAAATCATCGATTATGCTTTAACATGGCACATTTCTATTCAGCTATTGCGCCTTATACTTTGGGTACAATTTATTTTGAATATCCAAGAAATGCTGTTGGACTTAAGAGAGTCCATATGGCATTAGAGGTCTTTGAAGAGTACTTGAAACGTATTGGAAAGAAATATGTCGTCGCTGATCATATTACAATTGCCGACTTTCCATTGGTCACATCTATGATATGTCTCGAAGGAATTGCATTTCCTTATGACAAATTTACTCGAGTTAAGACTTGGTACGAAACATTTAAGCGTGAGAACCCGGAACTGTGGGCAATCGCTGAAGGAGGTTTGAAAGTTATTCAAGAGATTGAAAAGAATCCACCAGATTTAAGTAAATTGGACCATCCAATTCATCCAGTCAGGAAGACAGCAAAGCATTAAATGTCATACAATATTACCTGATCATCTCAAGTGTTGATGTAATAACGTATTGTTTTCCCAACCATAGAATGCTCGTTAAATAAAATGAGATTGCTCGATATATCAGTAAATGATCATGTCATAATGCACTTGCTGGCATTTTTTATTGTGGCGATTCCCTCAAGGTCAATCAATCTAAATCAAACAAACACTACCTGCGGGTGTAAAGTATTAAAATCGACATTAATACATCATATTTGTGGAGTGTAAAAGAACCATCTGTTATGGTTTTTTTTTGAGTGCCACTCATACCGTACATTAATGCTTACTATCGTTATATATGAATTATTTTAGGGTGATTCCTCAATAACGATTTTTGTTCACATTTTAAAAATATAATTGGTCATATTATGTGAGCGCCTATATGGTTGAAATTACACGTAATTCACATGAATCATTTAAACGAATATTTCATGGTGGCTGCTTGTGACTGTCCTTTTATTTTTCTCTACAGAATATTAATGACGTACACTTGACAATTTTTCTACAGGTGATTTTTTATTTCCAAATTTAGTGACGTGTATATCCGGTGAAATTTCTCATCAAGTAGACAACTTAGACAAATTAGTGAAGAGACGTTGAGAACACATGTGATGAGCCGCTAAATTGAACGTCGATAAAGCAGAACTGGGGGTCCACGATTTGAGAATGTATTTTGTTCCCGAAAAGTCCTGTTCAAATCGAATTTACTCAATCCGACATTGCAATTGTCCACAAAATTCTGTTCCCTTGGATTTTCTCACTTTACATGGACTTTGTAAATAAAAGTCATCATCCAGTGAATTTAAAAATTAAGCAATAACTGTGGTCTCCACTAACTTATAAATATTGCCAATGCGTAAGTATTACAAATCAGTGTTTAGTCAAATTTTTCGCGCGTGGGCTTTAATCTGCGATTGTTAAAAACATATTGTGGAAAAATTTGCAAATTTTTTGTTTATTGAGAAAGCTGACCTTAAAAAGTAAATAGTACAGTAATTAATCAAGCCAAACCTTTATTGTGATCAAGAATATATTGACTTTCATTCATTAAACATGACTGTTTTTAAATTTTCACTTTTAATATTCATACTGCTTTTCTCATTGTCAACATCCCGAAAAATAAATTCGGTACGAGGTATGTCCAAAATTTATCTAATCTCTAGCAATTCTTCTCGTTTTAATTATACGAAGTATTCTTAAAAGCTACACTTGAACAAAAATTGATCGCCTTTTCTTGATATCTTAATCCTTTAAATGAATTAATTTCCCATCAATCACTTGCTCGTCAGCCAAAAAGCAGCAATCATGAAGAAACAAAATAATCGAGTCTTTGGAATTATTTTCATTGTAGTTTTGTGTGCTGTTGCGATTACATCTGTTTCAATTACTATTGCTCTTTCAGATAAAATGAAGGCTACCGGCGATGCTCTTTCGAGGCTCCGTAATTTGATGACTGGAAGTACAATAGACATTGAGCCATTATTTGCATACATCGTTCCATCTGATGACTCTCATCAGGTAAGCTTGCAAAACATATTTTCTAGACTATTCAGACTTACATTTTAATGACAAATTTAATTAGAGTGAATATATTGCGCCGAGAGACCGTCGACGAGCTTTTATCACTGGATTTACAGGGAGTGCAGGAACAGCTGTGATTACCCAAAAGGAAGCTCTTATATGGACTGATGGGCGTTATTTCCAACAAGCTGAAAAGCAATTAGGAGATGATTGGACATTAATGAAAGACGGAATGCCAGAAGTGTTGACCTTGACTCAATGGCTTCAAAAGAACTGCAAACAAGGTGATCGTATTGGCGTTGATGCAAATTTATATTCAACTCGCGCATGGAATACGCTAGCAAATGCATTTGAGAATCAAGGTTGCATTTTGACTGCTGTTAAGCCGAATTTAATTGATTTAGTATGGGATAATCAACCATCACAGCCAAATAATCCAGTGATATCATTAGACATCAAATTTGCTGGAAAACTAGTTGATGAAAAGTTAAAAGAAGTAAGAGAGAAAATGGAAGCACAAGGTGCAAAAGTATTAGTTGTCACAGCACTTGACGAGATAGCATGTAAGTGATGAGATAAAATTCTTAAGCACTCGACAATAAAATCATTTTGTTTTTTTCTTTCAAGATATACTCAACCTTCGTGGATCCGATATAAACTCTAATCCAGTATTTTTCTCGTACGTCATTATTACTGATAAGGATGTATTATTTTTCATTGAGGAATCGAGAGTAACTGATGAAATTCGCACGCACTTTACTAAAAACAACGTTAATGTTCAAATAAGGAAATACGTTGAAGTTCATAGCTCTTTGGAAGCTCTTGCAAAGGAAACTGATGGAAAAGTCTGGGTTAGCTTAGGATCAAGTCAATCATTGACTGATTTAGTGCCTAAAGAAAAACGTCATCAAGATATTACACCAATTAATGTGATGAAAGCACTAAAGAATGACGTTGAGGCTCAAGGAATGAGGAATTGTCATGTCCGCGACGGTGTTGCATTAGTTCAATACTTTGCATGGCTTGAAAATGAAGTTCTTAATAAGAGAAAAGTTACAGAAATTTCTGGTGCTACAAAACTTGAAGAGTTCAGAAAGACGAAGGAAAATTTTAAAGGATTAAGCTTTGGAACAATCAGTGGAAGTGGGCCAAATGGAAGTATCATTCATTATTCACCAAGTGCTGATAGTGATCGTGAAATTACGGATCAAGAAATGTATTTGTGTGATTCTGGTGCTCAATATTTAGATGGAACGACTGATGTAACCAGAACATGGCACTTTGGATCTCCCAGTGATTATGAAAAGGAATGCTTTACTCGTGTCTTAAAAGGACAAATGCAAATGGGTAGTTTAATATTCCCAAATAAAGTCAAAGGTCGTTCTTTAGATTCATTAGCTAGAAAATTCTTATGGGATTATGGACTGGATTATAATCATGGAACTGGACATGGTATTGGAAGTTTCTTGAATGTCCATGAAGGACCGATGGGAATTGGAACTAGAGATTATCCAGATGATCCAGGTAAGCTTTAAACATAGAATTTATATCCATTATTCTTTACTTCCATTTTCAACAGGTCTACAAGTCAACATGTTCCTTTCAAATGAGCCAGGCTATTATGAGGACGGCAAATTTGGCATTCGTATTGAAGACATCGTTCAAATAGTTAATGCAACAAATGCTGCCAACAATTTCATGGGTCGTGGTGCACTCACTTTCCATACCGTTACTTTATGTCCTATTCATACAAAATTAATTAAAGTGGATTTGCTTACTGAGGCTGAACGTGTTCAATTAAATAATTATCATAAGAGAGTCAATGAAACTTTAATGCCTTTATTAGATGCTGATGATAAACTTACGCGTGATTGGCTGATTAAGGAAACTCAACCAATCTAAAATTTCTTGTTATATGTTTTGTGATTTTTTATCCGGAAATAAATTTTATATCCAATTAATACCTAAAGAATCTGTAACATTTATTAGATCATGTCCTGCGGTCTGATACAAAAATCAGCGAAAGCGTGCCACTGAATATGTAGATTTTTCAGTTTAAGCCACTCATGCTGCTCATTTCTGTATGAAATTTATGTTGCCACTATAAAAACACGAGAAACTACAAAACCAATAATCTATTTTTCATCCTACTTCCTCATTCTTCATGTTTATGTGGTTGAACTTAATTTATGCTTCATTATTTTTTATAGAGCTGGCTCAGTCTGCTTTGCGCTCTTCTCATTCCTCTTCGTTCTTTGACTGAGCATTATCGTCAAATGAATTATGAAATGGCAAAAAGCATTGGAAATGTTTTTTGTCGCGTTTCATTTTTGAAGCTTCTGGATATGCTGGAATATTACTGTCTACGTTTTGTCTGCATGTTTGTAGTTACTTCTCAATTTTAAGAAATTCGATGCAGTCTTTTGCTTAAAAAATCAAAAGCAAAAATGGAGAAAGACGATCATTATAATAAATGACTACTTCCTCTCCTGAATCATCCTTAAAATGCGCTTTTTCCCGACCACATGTGACTACAACTGTACACAAATTTCTTCCTTCGTCAAAAGCGGAAGCAGGCACAACAGAGAATATGAACAAAATACTGAAAAGAGAAAGAGAAAAAAATGCTGTTGAAGCATAAATTATATCGGAAAATCATGCAGCGCCTCTAATTTATGTCGAAAGCTATTTGGCATTTTTTCTATTTTTTTTCTCTTGCATTTTTTTTTTGCGCGAAAAGTCAAATATTTATGAAGAAAAAATTGGCTTGATTAAATAAAGTTATGAATTATTTTTATTGCGGTTTTTATGGCTCTACTTACTTGCCATATTTTCCATTCATTTCATATGTGTTGCGGTACTTTCTTGCGATGGAAATGGCATTATGTTGAATGGGAAAGGCTTATTCTGGGGATTGACAACTGTGGAATAGATTTAACAAAAAGAATTGTAGTGTTTCTAAGGCTACACAAGGAACCAGCTGTACTAGAATTTTTTAAACCACCCACTAGAAAAAAGGGTAGTGTCTAAGGAAGCCTTAGAAGCTCTTGAAGCGTATAAGCATAAGAATATTGGAAGGAAAACCTTGAAAAGCTTATGTTTGGTTATCAATTATGATGTGAAAGTGAATTTGGGTAATAATAATTATAATGCAAGATTGGCTCAGCTTGTTGAATTGAAGGCACAGCGATTGTAGAATCTATAGGACCATATCCTTTAGAGTCTACATTTTAAGGTGGAATCTAAACCTCTTGCAAGCTTTGTACATTAGAAATACATTGTTACCTGCTGTAATCTGCAATGAACCTAGTCACAACTCATATGCTCAAGATGCTGTAAAGAAATCACATAGATAGTTCTAAATCCTAGTAAATGTAACAAAACTTTAAAACAGGAGCGTAGCCAGAAAATTTTTAAGGGGGGGGGGTGGGTGGTCCCATTTCTGAAAATTAATTTTCAGTTTTTCGCATTTTGTGAGAAAACAAAGCAAAATTGGAAAATTGGTTATAAAAAGTCACAGAGGAAAAGTTTGTGCCTGAAATTTTACATCATTTTCAAAAAACAGATTTCAAATTGGTTTTGGCAT